GAGTAAATATCTTATATAAACAAGGTGTAAGAGGAAGAACCAATACAGAGGAATTAGATAGGAGATGGGGGCTATTAGTTCTGGAAACCTACTTTCTTCAGGAATGGGTTCAAGAGGGAAAAAATATATACATACATCTAGAAGAGTATAAAAGTCTTATGAATTTAGAAAGAAATAAAACTGTTGCAAGGGGATAGAGAGGGTGGAGAGGATAAAGGAGGGATCTTTAGAGGGGAGGATGCAGGAATAGGTCAAAAGGGGGATATAGAAGGGTGTTTAGATTTAGAGGAATGGGAGGATAAGGGAAGGATTGCTGGAAGGGGTAGGTTAAGTAATAGGAGGGCAAGGTAGCAGGTAGAAGTAGAGGAGTTGAGAGAAATAGGAAATAAGAGATATGCATAAACAAAAAAACAGATTAGGAGTAGAATCTCAGGGAAAATATATGTTTAAATATGTATGTGTGTGTATATGTGTGTGTATATATATATATGTATATAGATAGATAGATACAGATATATGTGTGTATGTATATAATATAATATACGTATATATATATATATACTATATATATATATACATACACATATATATATACAACTCTATATAGATGTATCCATGCTTAATTATATCCTTGGGGTTGGGGTAAGGAGGAGGAAGGGGGGAAAAAAGAACAAAGCTAAAAGCATACAGCAGGGAACAAAAGGAAACAAAGAAATGATGGACAGCTTTCAACATAATGTGCAGTATTTAATATATAGGCTTTCTTGAAATGAAAAGTTGTTGCTATATATCCTGAATCCTCCCGTATGTTCTGCTGTGTATGTGACATGTTTTTTTTCTCTTCTTATTTTATATTTAAGTTTATGTTTCTTTTTCCTTTCTTACTATATATTTAAGTTTTAGTACTTGTCTAAAATTAAAGAAAAGAATAATGTATTCTGTCAAGCTAAGTAGAATCCTAGAAGAAAAAAATGGATCTTTAATAAAATAGAGAACTTTCATGCTTTTCTAATATAAAGACAGATCTAGGTAGAACCTTTGGAAGGAAAACATAGAGACTACAGAAATACAGAAAAGTAAATTTATTTGAACATCTGAAAGGAGTTGTGTGAAGATATAGGGAAGAAAAAGACGTATCTCTCCCGAATCTTAAATTGTCAAAGGGTATTGAGAGTTAAGCAAAACATGAGAAGGCAAGTGCTACAGAGGATAAAGTTCTGGGCCTAGAGTAAGAAAGGCTTATTCTCGTGAGTTCAAACCTGGCCTCAGACACTTAGTACTTGTGTGACTCTGGGTACCTCGGCCACACTGTGTCTAGGCTTCTTGTCCCAGCTCCCCATTTTTTTCTCCCCTCTGCACCAGGCCCCCAGATGACTGGAAACCCCTCAGCCTGCCCCCCACACTGGACTAGCCATCAGGAGGGGAGACAGAGATGACTGAGGCCTGTATACATGGAGCCAGCCTGTCCTCACCCATTGGTGGGAGATGAGCTGAGGAAGGAAGGAAGGAAAGATTGGTTTGGACTTGTTGGGTTGGGCTGCACTTGACTCGTGTGGCTCTGTGACTTTGTTTCTCTAGGCTTCAGTTTCCTTTGCTGGTTTCCAGCTCTAAATCTGTGCTTCCGTGAACCCCAGAATCTTTCAAGGCACTGTCAGCTCTGACCAGCCCCGCGGTTATAGTCTGGGATTTTGGGAAAGGACCTCACCCTCTCTGGGCCTGCCTACATTCCCTTCCCCATAAAATCAGGGTGGTGGGGGTGGTGGAGGTGGTAGACCTTGATTTCAGTGGTTCTGGGTGAGGCCTGGAGGCAGCTAGGCCTTTGGACCCTGGCTGGCTCAAAGTGGAATTCTTTGCTCTGAGGCCGTTGGCACAGAGTTACGCCAGTGACGGGCCATGTCCCTCCCACAGGTGATCCTAGGGGCTGATGTCCCAGAGATTTCATTCAGCATTAGTGGGGCTGGGGTCTCTAGGGGTTGTTCTACACAGTACTAAGTGGAGAAGGAGCACTGGTAAAGTCAGTGGCCTGGGAGTAGAAAGCAACCAGATTTGAATATGCATAACTGGGGAGTAGAAAAGAAATTGCCTCCTCATTCCCCTTTGTGGGCTTCCCAGGAGCCTCTGGTAACTGAGCCTTCTTTGCCTTAGTCTGAGTAAGTTCCTTTACTTTTCTGGGCCCATTTCCCTTTAGATAAAATTGTTTGACCTAGGAATCTTAGGTCAGTTACAGGGTCCCAAATGAGGTATGTAGAGCTGCCTAGTTCTCCAGCTTCACCCATGCAAAGGGCCTACTCTGAAAGATTCACTGACCCAGAAATCTGACTTCATGGGGGACAAGGGTAGAGTGCTCATGGTGTGGATGAATGATGGCTGTGAAACTGTGTGGACTGGGAAGTCTGGTGCAGAGTGAGGAGAGGTTTGCTGAAGCTGGGAGGGAGGGCCATGGCAGGACCTTGCAACCCAGACACATGTCCCCTCTTCCCCCAGTGGCCTATGGGGGTTGTGCTGATTCTGGTTCCATGCATGGGGAGGGAAGGCTTCTATGTGCCCACCAGCCCAGTCCTGCCTGTCCTTCCTTTGGGGACTGTGACCCCCTCCCACTACAGATGGTATACCCCCTCTATTTCCTACTCTGCCCACTCCCTCAGTCTTCTGCCTCAGGGTCCTCCAGTATCCTAGACTTTCCTAATTGCCCTTCTAGCCCTTCTGTCCTCGCCAAGACACTCCACAAATGGAATGGTCAGTAGTGAGTCGTCTATCACTGCAAATCATCTATTAGAGCCTGGATGGCCACTCATCAAGGAGACTGTGGAAGACATCTCTGGTAAAGGTGTGGTTGCTCTAGATAGTCTCTGAGAATCCTCTGGCTCTGAGGTTCTTCTAGCCCAGAAGCTAAAGCAGCTTCCAGGAGCCTCCATGGCCAGGGTGGAGACACTGGGGGCCAATGAGATGAAATAGAATCTGGCTGAAGCTCTGAGCCCCAGTGGATGACTGGAGGTCATCTACTCATAGGGAGCCACCTGCATCTATAATCCCTACTATGGGCAGTGGTCACTGCCTAAGGAGGCCTCCCCAAAGGTGTTTGAGCCCTCCCTCCACAGATGAAAGGATGACTGAAGGCCACTTCCCTCTACATGTTCACCATGGCAGTTGGGGCACCATTCTTTGGCAAGGCAGACTCTGGATCTGAAGGACAGTCACCCTTCCCCTCACTGTGCTGGGTCTGAATTGAGACAGGAAAGGAGAGGCTTGGGTTTCCCTGCCTCTCCTGGCTTGGGAATCCTGGAATCTCAAGTTTTCAAGCTGGAAGGGACCTTGGAGATCACCTGGTCCAACAGCCTCACTTTACCGATGAGGAAACTGAGAGCTGGTATGTACTGAATAGGGGTTCTTGTTCAGGTTTGGAGAGGCCTGGGTGCTCCTTGACTGTACAAGGAGACCTGCTGGTGACACAGACCCCAAGCCTAGCTAAGGGACAGAGTCACCCTTCATCTGGAACTTTAGGCTTAGAAATGGCAGTGAGATAATTGAGGGAATTAGAACAGCAAATGGTAGTGGAAATTGAGTGAACCACACTGACTCCATTTTGTGACTCAATTCTGGAGCCAGTCAGTTCCTTTTCTATTCAACTATGGAACTAGTCTAATTTCTCTCTTGTGGGAAAACTTTATTCAACTGTGGGAATTGGGAGAAAATTTTGTTGCATTGTTTGAACCTATCCCTATATGGCTAGGAAATTGGATTACACACACACATATACACCTGCTTTTTATTGTTCAGCCATTTCAGTTGTGCCCAATTCTTTGTGACCCATTTGGGGTTTTCTTGGCAAAGATACTGGAGTGGTTTGTCATTTCCTCTCTAGCTCATTTTACATATAAGGAAACTGAGGCAAATAGGGTTAAGTGACTTGGTCAGAGTCGCAAGCTAGTAAGTGTCTAAGGCCAGATTTGAACTCAGATATTCCTGAGTCCAGGCCCAGCGTTCTATCCACTGCACCATCTGGCTACTATGCCTGTTGCTTAGAGACCATCAATTAAGAACCTAGATTATGCTGACCAGAAACTCAGTCAGATCTGAAGACTGATACATTTTCCCACAATTATACATCTCAAGTAAGATATTTCATATGTCTTTTCTGAAAACTGGCCCCACACTAGTCAATCATTTATTGTTTCCATGTTGCTTTGATTGAATACAGACGCCTGAGGGGTGGGACAACTCTTTTTCTGATTTCAGGCAATTGTACCTGTTTGCTCTCTCCCTCCCAACTTGGAAAATCCCTAATTTGTCCTCCAATTACAAATCGAATTATCCAATGTTGTATACTGGTTAATTAATTGGTCTTATTTGATTAATTCTTTTAATGCATAAAAGTCTGTCTCCCCCTGTCTTCAGGGTCCAACCCTAAGCTGAGGAGATCTGGTCCTGATTGGTTAGGCAATTGGCATGCATAGCTTAATACATCGATATGCCCTGGAGCTCCAACTGGTGTTTACGCAGTCATTTCATCTTTCACCTGCCACAGTAAGAAAGCCCTTACAATATCTCTTGGTCTAACTGAGATATGGCGAACTTTGCTTCAATAGGACTGTTCCAGCTCAGCTCCTTCATGTGTTCAGAGGCACTCAGTCAGTTCTGGGTTCAAATCCTGTCTCTGACTCTTACTAACATAAATCATTTAGTTACTGTAAGCCTAGGTTTCCTCATACATAAAATGGGGATATCAATACCTGTAGTACTCACCTCACAGGGGTATGGTGAGATTCAAATGAGATGAGGTATAGAAGGTGCTCTCCAATCATTAGAGGTACAGTATGCCACTGATTCCTAGGTTGGCATGGAGGGCAAATGGAATAATATATGCAAAACACTGTAGAAATGTTACCTAGTATGCCTGATAGTGAGAAGGATTACACATCATTCATTGGTAAAGTCATAAATGTGTTCATGCATGTTATGTATAGAAAGGACTTTGCAACCAAAACAAATAAACAACCAAATAAAGCATTGTAGAAAGGCCAGCTTTAGTAGTAGCAGAAGCATCATCATCCTCATTACCACCATCTTCATCATTCTTCTTCTCCTCATTCTCATCCTCATTAGCACTACCATCCTCATCACCATCTCATTGACCCCTTCTTCTTCCTCCTTTTTTCTCCGTGTATTTCAACATTAGATCATAAACTTCTTGAGGTGAAAGATGATTTCAGTTTTGTTTCTTCTGACCAGTGCTGTCCCCAAGCACTGAGACAGAGGTTCTTGGAAAGACATTTGGGGAGTATAGGGAGGCTGCTACCTGGCTGCTCTCACCAAAATGAGAAGAGAGCCAGGGGGGATAAGTTTGGCGGATTCCCCACCTCCATATCCTCACCAAAGTGACCTGATCCTGGAAAAGTTATCCTCCATCTTATTGCCTATAAAATAGTTAAGCATTCCTTCACCTCCCTTCCCCCAACCATACAAAGATAATCTGAGGCATGAGTTAGGTAGGGAGTGTGTGGTCACCTGGCTGGAGAGGACTTGGAAGCTTTGGGTCAGGGGTCACTGTGAATGCCTTGGGGTTTAGAGTCAGACATCACAGATGGAAGCTTCCATCCAAGATGGCATGGTGCAAATCTAGGGTCAGTGGCTGGAAGGTCTTGGATTTTCTGTCTAACACATACAGGGGATCAGATATGACACTCAAGTCAAAACCCTCCTTAACCAGTCGAGACTTAATGAGCTTAAATGAGCCTGTGGTCTCCAGGGAGTCCTGAGGAAGGGAAAGAAGAGTCACTGAAGGTGACCCCAAATCTCTCCCCCTTAATCGCAGCCCCTCCCTTCCTTTCTCCCATGATTCCCTAGAGCTTCCATGTCTCCCAGGGTAGCCGCTAACCTGGATCCGAATGAAGTGTGGGGCAGCATAGACAGGGAGCACGTTCTCAATGAAGCTGTGGAGTTTCTGGCCATCAAATGCTTTTCCAGGTCTCAGCCGTACAGCTGCCATCCCGACCTTCCCCTCGCAACCTGTGGGCATGCACTGGGTTACTGGGGATGAGGAGAGGATGGGACAGACTGGCTCCATCTGGTCATCTCCTTCCTGTCCTCCCAACCATCCTGGAAGCTTCTTCCTCAAGCATGTGCCAGGTCTAAGATTCTCAGGCTTCTGCTTGGTCAGCCTGGTTTTTCACACAGGAAGGGGACAATATGGCAAGGGAGGCTTCTCATTCACCTCCTCCAGGAAGTCCACTGAGGACAACACACCTTCCACCTCCTGTGTAGACACATTCTCTCCCTTCCAGCTGTGGGGACACAAGAGAGTGTCTTTTCCGGGTCAGTGACACCTTGATCTCTCCAGAGACCCCTGTTCCTAGACAAGACACCACACTGGCCACCAATGACCACCCTTCAAAAGTAAGCTCTTTCCTTAATGTCATAATGGGTCTTGAAGATAAACTTTCCTCTGGCTGGAAAAAAAATCCCTCCAGGGTCCCTGCCTCTCCTCTCCTCTCCTCCCCTTCCCAAGAGCAGGAGGTGAATTCAATGAAAATCATAGTCACCCTCCTCTCTGTCCAATCAGTCCAGCCCAGTGCCTGGCCTAGCGCCTTTCTGCTTAACCTGCAATAGGGGTGAGACTCCTTCCAGAGTGGACAGCTCCTGTGGCAGGCTTAGGCCAGGCTGGAGCACAAGGACCACCCACCCTCTCCCCCCATAGTCCTTTCTTCCCTTATTCAAGCAACCCTTCTCACTTTTGAGGGGATGGTGCTTCTCCCTTCTAAGCATTTCTCACCAGGTATGGGGACACCGTAGACGTTCACCTCCTCCAGGAAGTCCACCAAGGACAACACACCCTCCACCTCCCGTGTAGACACATTCTCTCCCTTCCAGCTGTGGGGACACAAGAGGGTGTCTTTCTGGGTAGATCCTTGTTCCCAGACCAGAGACCACTCAGGACCTGACATCCTCCTTGGTGGGAAGCAGCCCACCTCTTCCCATCAAAACCTGAAATCCTGTCTCCCCCAGTCCCCCTCCAGAAGGCCTTTTCCCTGACCGGAATGTGTCACCAACACGGTCCTGGAAGTAGAGGAAGCCATCCGAGTCCCTAGACAGCAAGTCCCCAGAATTGAAGTAGATGTCCCCTGGCCGCAGCACATCCCGAAGGAGCTTCCTCTCTGTGTGCTCCGGTAAGCCAAGGTACCCCAGGAAGGGGGAGAAGCTGGTGACGCGTGATACCAGCAGCCCTGTTTCCCCTAGGGAGAGAGATAGAACTATAGGAGAGAAACAGAGGCAGGGAAGGCATTTGTGCCTCTGGGCCCGGGATGGGGCTGGGCTGCAAGCCTCTCCACTAAGAGGCGGCTATATCCCTTCCACCCCCACCCCATCCCCATGGCCTGGCCTCCAGCCCCAGCCCTCTTACCAGGCCCCACGGGGATGCAGTGGCCCTTCTTGTCCCGAACGGGCTTCTCTGTCTCAGTATCAAACCGGATGAGCTCAAAGGGACTGAGCAGCTGAGGAAAGCAAGGAGAAAAGGTGTGGGAAATGAAGAGAGAGGAGGGGGCCCACTAGGTGCCAGGCACTGGGTAAGAGTTTTAGAGGGGCTCAAGGCTGTGGGTCGCAGACTCTGAGAGCCTGGGATCTGCTGCTGAGTCAGGGTTCAAAGGACAGAGATCTCAGCCTCCCCCAAGAGTGGGACCTCAGAGTAGATAGTCTGGAATGGGTGGAAGTCCCAGGGGAAGGGAGGGGAGAGATCCTGCTCACCCAAAGCAGAGGGCTGCTCTTGCCTACAGCCCCAACATGTCCAGTGTAGTTAATGAAGCCGACATTCCCCTCTGTGGAGCCATAGAACTCACAGACTCGAATGGGCCCAAAGCGCTTCAGGAACTGTTCCCAGACCTCTCGCCGAAGACCATTCCCTATGGCCAGTCGCACCTTGTGCTCTTGGTCACAGGGTCGCTGCAGGGAGCAGGCCAAGGTCACCCAGGGGGGTGAGGTTGGGAAGGTTCCTCCCTTGGGAGACATGTAGGAGAAGGGCCACTAATGGGCTGCTTTGGGGAAGGGTCTCCCTCAGGATATGTAGATAGCACCTAGCAAATCTATAGATTTGCCTGAAAGGAATCTTGCCCTGGGACAGTGTGGGGAAGGGTCTCCTCTGTATTTCCATGGGCGAGTCACCTAGGTTTTATCTAGGGATGATGAGGTATTTGTGGTCTCCCTTGGGCCAGCCCACAGAGGGAGAAGCTCACTCACCTCAGGAGTGCTGCACAGGTAACGAAGGACCTCTCCAACGTACTGAATGACCGTTACCTGATACTTCCGACAGTCATCCCAAAACCTTGAGGCTGAAAACTTTGGGGCCAGGATACAGGTACACCCTGGGCCAGAGAGGAGGGCTAGTCAGACTATCAGCCTCTTTCAGGGTCTCCAAATCTACCCAAGCCCTCCACACCCATTCCACTGCTGTACTCCCAGACTCCTCAACCCCTTTCCTTTGTCAGGTCTCTGGAGGTAGGGCATGTGGGGAGGTAAGGCATGACCCAGGCACCAGAGCAGCAATCTGCAGACCGTAGAAACTGGAGTTTGGAGTCCCCTCTGAGAGTAACCCTCCTAAGAGGACCAATGTTTCTGCCCTGCACCTGGGGGACAACCAAGCTCTCCCTGAGAGCAGCCCAGGGCAGAGAGCAGTGCCACCAAGCAGTCAGAAAGACTGAGGGGGACCATATCCCTACCATCTGCTACACCTACCTGGCAGCAGGGGAGGCACCCCAGAAGATCCCACAGAAGTGATAGGAAGAGGTCAGTGTCATACTTGTGTGACTTGTGTGCCTCCTAGTTTTACCTCCCACGTAGTCTGGGAAATTGGGTCCTCCTTGGTTTCTCAGGCCTCGGCCCAGGTCATGAACAGAGCTCCTATCCCCTCCCCCAGCCCCAAATGCAGGGGACGAGACCTAAATGTCAGGTGCTGGGCTTGAGGAAGAGGCTCTGGCAACTGCTGGTGAACTGAGACAGTTCAGAGGGACGGAAGCTTGGGAGGAAGCTGTGGGAGTGGTCTAAGTGACCCGGTCCAATCACAGAGAGGAATACGTAAGGCTGAGAGCTCGAGGAACTTGGAGACCATCACATCCAGGCTCCTCATTTGATTCATGGGGAAACCTCGGCCCACAAATCCAAGGAAAGGACTTGTCCAAGGTAAGCTAGGCTTGAGTAAATGTCTCAGCTAGGATTCCTGATGAGTCACACACCCCTTTACCAAGCCCAGAGGCCATGATCCCTGCCCAGCAGCCATCCCCAAAGCCCTCACCTCGTTCTATGCAGCCCATGACGCCAACCAGAAGGGCAGAGGTATGGTAAAGTGGAAGGGCTGTGTAGAAGACATCGTTCTGCCGGATGCCACACGCTTTCAGGGACGATGCCATCATCAGCACCCGATTGTGATTCAAGATCACTGGCTTGGGGAGCCCTGTCAGGTGGGCGTGCAAAAAGAAAGAGGCCAACTCAGTCAGGTAACAAGCATTGATTAGGTGCCTAAAGTATGCTGGGCACTGGGCAAAGGCACTAAGGATACAGACAGACCCTGCTATAAAGCAGGAGGCTAGCTAACTGGGCGGCAGCTGCCAAACTGCATAAAGACAAGCTAGAGATGAGATTAACTAGAAATAACAGGGGCGAGGCCCTAGCATTAAGGAAGATCAGGAGCGGCTTCCTCTAGAAGGTAGGATTTTAATAATTGCTGTTTTTCAGTCGCCTTCAGTGGTGTCTGACTCTTTGTGACCCCATTTGGGGTTTTCTCTGCAAAGATACTGGAGTGGTTTGCCATTCCTTTTCCAGCTCATTTTACAGATGGGGAAACTGAGGCAAACGGGGTTAAGTGACTTGCCCAGGGTCACATAGCTAGTAAGTGTCTCAGGCCAGATTTGAACTCATGAAGATGAGTCTTCCTGACTTGGGCCCGGCACTCTATCCACCGCATCACGTGTCTTCCCTCTCCATAATAATAGCTAACATGTATATAGCACTTACTGCGTGACAAGCATTGTACTAAGGGCTTAATAATTATTTGATCCACACAACAACCCTAGGAGACAGGTACCATATTACCCCCACTGGAAACTGAGGCAGGCATAAGTTAAGTGAATACTCCAGGGCTGCCCAGCTAGGAAGTGCCCGAGGTTTGATTTGAACTCAGGTTTTCCTGACTTCAGGCCCAGAGATCTGCTGTGACACCTTCATGCCCTAAGACGGGAAGGAAGTTGGGAGGAAGAAGTAAGGAGAGGAATAATTCCAGACACACAGGGACAGCTGGTGAGCATGCACAGAATGAGTCAGTGGCTGGAATGTCTTGTGCTTGCAGAGCATCGGAGAGGTGCTGTAGAGGTGAAGTCTACAGGCCTTGGCCACAGCTTGGATGCAGGAGCGAGAGAAAGTGAGGGGCCCAGGGCGACTCCTGGGTTTCAAGCCTGGGGGACTGGGAGAATGCCGATCCCATTGAAAGTAATAGGGAACTTAGTAAGAGAGTAGGGCTTGAGAGCCTGGTGAGGCTTGAGGCCACTCATGGGGGTGACCATTGAAAGACAAAGAGAGACAGAAGAGAAGAACAGGGTGATAGGCAAAGAGAGAAGCAAGGAGGCAGAATCAGGAATAAGGAGACACGGCCAGAAATACAGGAGAGATTAACACAGGACATCGTCTCTATGCTGAAGATTCTCCCTTCTGCCTTGCCTGTCCCCCCCTCTCTGCTGACCTGCAATCTTGCATCTCCAAAGGCCTTTCAGACATCTCCAACTGGATATCCAGGAAACATGTCCAAAACTGAACTCATCATCTTTCTTCCTAACCCTATCACCAACCTCTGTATTTTCATAGCCTACTTGGGGTACTGCCTTAAGTACTTGCCCACTCTGATCTATCCCCCATTCAGCTACTAAAGTCATTGTCCTAAAGCACAAGGCTGATCATGTAAACTCATGTTCCCTATTCCCTCCAGGATCAATACAAAATCTTCTGGCATTCAAAGTCCTTCCCAACCTACCCCTTACCCCCCCACTTTTTAGGCTGCTTACCCCTCAACCTCTCCCTATACACATGTGCGCACTCAGGAAGGCAGTGGCACTGGACCCCCAGTCATTCCACACACAACACTTTCAGGCATTTTCTCTGGCTGCCCACCATACCTGGAACACTCTCCCTTCCCACCTCTGCCTGCTGGCTTCCTTTAAGTGCCAACTATAACCCCTCTTCTACAGGAAGCTTTGGTCAAAGCTCCCCCAAACCAACAGATAGAAAGAAGATGGAAGATGGAAAGACCAGGAGGCAGAGAAAGGGGTGCTGGGAATTCAAGGTGATGGCTGTGGGGTCAGAGGATGAGTCTCACTCACCAGTGGTCCCAGAAGTGTAGATGAACACAGCCATGCTTTCAGAGGTGACGCCAGCTCGAATCTGGCGGGGCACTGGGTCGGAGGAGGCTGCTTCTATGCGGTCCTTCAGGGGCTCCACCCCCTTTGTGGGGGACGTGGAGCTCAAGTAAAAGCACCGGACACCCTTGGCCATCAGCTCTGGAGCAATGGCCTCCACCACCTCCTGTAACTCTAGAAAAGGAAGGCATTATTACTCTGGGAAACTGAGGCACAGAGTTGCAGAAAGAGGCACAAAGAGACTCAAAGTCTGAGAGAATGAGAGACAGGGAGAGAGAGAGAGGAGGGACAAAGAGGCTGAGATGCAGAGAATGAGACATCTGGGGACTGAAAAATCCAAAGACCTCATGAGTCCCAGAATCTCCAAGCTTGAAGGTACTTTCCTGGCCATCTAATCCAACTGTACCTGAGGAAGAGAGTCCTCTGCAGCCTTCCTGACAAAGCTTCATCTAGCCCCTGCTTGAACACCTCCCCAGATGGGGAGCTCAGCGCATTGCACTGGGGGACTTCCCCTGCCCTCCAGTTTCAATGGGCCTCTTTGCCCCTGCCCTTCCCCTCACCCCTATTGCTCCCGGTTCTGCCTTCTGGGGCCAGACAGACTCAGTGTGTCCCGTGTGCCTGACAGCCCTTCGGAATCATGAATGGGGAAAGACTTAGCTGCTCCATGATCCAAGACAGCTCCACAGGACCCATGATGAAACACGCTGTCCACCTCCAGACAGAGAGCGGACCTACTGCAGTGCAGATTAGAGCAGATTCTTTTTCAGTTTCTCTGCTTTCCTTTTCCTGCAGCCTCTCCAATTTGGAAATATGTTTTGCATGACTTGTTATGTGTAACTGATATATTGCCTTCTCAGTGAGTGGGGGAGGGGAAGGAGGGAGGAGGAGGATTTGGAACTCAAGACTTCTTTTAAAAAATTAATGTTACAGGACAGCTAGGTGGTGCAGTGGATAGAGCACCAGCCCTAGAGCCAGAAGGACTTGAGTTCAAGTCTGGCCTCAGACACATAATACTCACCAGCTGTGTGACTCTGGGGCAAGTCACTTAACCCCAGTTGCCTCACCAAAAAAAATTAGTGTTAAAAACAAATCATATTTTTTAAATGTGAAATGAGCTCTTATGTCTCCTGAATCTTTTCTTCTCCAGGAACTATTCATCTCCGTAGTTTCTCCGACTGATCTGCATATGACATGGTCTCCAGGCCCTTCACTCCCCAGGACGCCCTTCCTTGACAGCTCTCCAACTCATTGGTGTTCTTCTTAGACTGTTGTGCCCAGAGCAGAGGACAGTCTGGCAAGGGTGGAGGACAGGCTCAACTCCCTAGTCCTGGAAGCTGTATTCCTCCTGAGACAGCCCAAGAAACTGAGATGGACAGAGACAGGGACAAAGGAAGAGCCAGGGGCAGGGGCAGGGGCAGAGCCAGGGTCAGGGGTAGAAGCAGAGCCAGGGGTAGGGGCAGGGGCAGAGGCAGAGCCAGGGTCAAAGTAAGGGGCAGAGGCAGAGGCAGGGGCAGAGGCAGGGCCAGGGGCAGAGGCAGGGCCAGGGGCAGGGGCAGAGGCAGAGGCAAGGGCAGGGGCAGAGGCAGAGCCAGGGTCAGGGGCAGAGGCAGAGCCAGGGTCAGGGGCAGAGGCAGAGCCAGGGTCAGGGACACAAGCAGACACAAGAGTGGACTCTCAGATAGATGGGTTCCATCACACACTGACCTACCTGGGTCAGCCAAAAGGACGCAGGACCCAGCACTGAGTACAGCATGGAGGAGGGAAGACCCTCGGATGTGGGGGTTGATCCAGGCGACCTGGCAGCCCAACTTACTGAGACCAAACCAGAGACTGAGTGTGGAGATGCCTTGGGGCCCGAGGAAAAACAGGGCGGCCACATCCCCTTCCTTCAGCCCCACAGAGCCGTGGAAGGCTGCACCCAGGGCCCTGGCCACTTGGCAGCTCTTCTGATCCATCTCCCCCAGGCTCACCTGGAGGCCAGAGGTTGTGTCCACCACCATCAGCCGGTCTGGATTAGCCTTGGCCCGGGCCTCAAGCAGGTCCACTAAGGATGTACAGGAAACCTTGTGGGCCAGGTTGATGTATAGGAGGTGGCCTATGTAAGTTACATCTTCTGGCAGCCAACGGATCCAGGCTGGGAAGCTCTGGATCAGAGACTTAGGGAGCCATTGAGAAAGCCATGGGAGCCCCATGGTAGGTATCAGCCACAGCCACTGCCAAGGCCACGGCAGTAGCCATAGCATTGCCAAGGGCAGGAGGAGGAGAAGGGCTGTCCCCTTCAGCCCCATCCTTGACAGCAGAGAAGTGAGGAGGAGAGCCCCAGGCACAGGAAGGGTGAGTCTGGTGAACAGCCAATGATTAACCAGGCCCCTGGGAGTGGCAGTAGTTGGTCCCGAAGGCCCTCCCCCACCTCGCTCTGGGTCTCCTTCCCTTGTTTGTCCCTCTTTCTGTCTCCTCCCTCTCTATTTCCTCTCCCTCGCTGTTCATGGATCTTTCTGTTAATCTTTGGCTCTCTTTGTCTCCGTTTCTATCCCTGTCTCTGTCCCTCTGTCCCTCCCTGTCTATCTCTCTGCCTCTGTCTCTGTCTCTCTCTTTCTGTCTCTAAATCTGTCTCTGTCTCTCTGTCTCTGTCTCTCTCTGTCTCTCCCTCCCCCCCCCCCACTCCTCCTGAAGGGACAATGTGTCTATCTCAAGGCAGCCTATGGTTTGAAGGAGGTGCAGTCTCAGAGGGTTGTTTGAGATATCTCTACCTCAGGGCATCCAGGGGAGGGAGTGAGGAGGGGGCTGGCTCTCCAGGGCCCCAGAGAACAGTCCCAAGTGCAGTGGGGGAAGTGAAGAGAGGCTGATGAAGACTATGTGGGAGATGGTCTCTCAGAAGTGAAGCCTCCTCAGAGGGTTACTTGTTTCTTGCTCTGCTGAAACGCCTGCAGTCAGTTGATCTTGTGAAGAAATATGACTTGCAATGCATCCTGTGCTGTCCTAGGCCTCCCCCTCTTCCCAAACTTGTTTTCAGGCAAGTAGCAGGGAAAAGTAGCACCCCTCCCCCTCTTAAACCACTTGCTCTTGCAAAAACTTCCACCTGTTCTCCAGGCAAGTTTGTGAAACTCTTTGTTCTCTGTTGCTGGGGTAGATTGCCAGTAATAAGATTGTACCCTCAGAGCTTGTCCCAGTGAGCCCTGAGGAAGGGGGCTAGGGAGGAGGGGATTGCAGTTAGGCTCTATATAATCTGCTGAGCTGAACACACTTGTGCTGTCTTTGGTTGGCACCATCTTTTGGGTGCTCTGAGGGGGCCCTTTCTGAGAAAGCCAATAAACTGATAATCATTTGAGATCAATTGAGCCCCAATAAGGCCCAAAAACCTGAATTAATCTTTTTCTTTCGGAGTGAACTAAAAATACCCCTTCCTGTGTCAGCAAATTTCAGGACCAGGTGAAGCTCACCAACATTCTTCCTGTTCGTCCTCACTGAGCCCAGAATATCTGGGACCAGACATCTCTTGATTAATGAGATTTTCCTTCTTTTGTATCCTATGGACATATGTTATGTAGAGGAAACACATATCCTGGATCTATAATTTTGATTGATACTTTGACATTCTATTGTATTTACAATCTATGCAATTAAGTAACTTCCTTTTTTAATGTCATATGTTAGGAAACATATGGAGGCTATTCCTTTTTTTGTAACACAGACATCCTGAGTCTGATCATTCTAAACTGCATAAAACCCCTCTCATTTTGCTTAATCTCCGAGTCAGAATCACATTCTGGCTTCCATGTCGAGATGAGTCGCTAGCAAAAAGGGAATAAACTATATAATCGTATATCACCTAACCTGTTTGCCTTCTTTAACCAAACTTTCAGGTCAACAAAACAAACTATTCTTTTTGCTAACATCTCTGAGTCTCCGATTTATTGATAAGGGTCTTCATACCCCACACAACTAGGAAGGACTTCCTCCCAGCCAGAGCTGTCCCAGAGTGGGGCAGGCCACCCCAGGGGTGGTGGGCCCTCCTCCTGGGGCAGCTCAGGCAGGGCTGGGCCCAGAGGCTCTGAGGCTTCTCCAGCTCTGATGTTCTGGGAGTCTCTAACTGAGCCCTCGCGCTCAGGAAGCTTGAGAGGACAGGAAAGGACCAAGAATGAGTCGGCAGCATTCTCAGATTCCCACCTGAGGCTTGCAAAGGGCACAGAGAAGCTAATTTTGCAAAAATTTGTCCAAGGTCCCAAAGAGCCCAGCCACAACCTCTAACCAGGAAAGGCTCTTGCCTAGAAGGAGCACAGAGCCCTTGGGTGCAGTCCTGCTTGGCAGACACTGGCCAGCTCCTGGTCCCCCCTTCCCTGTGTCCCCCATCTCTGCAATGGACGTGTGGGGCTACGGATCTCTAAGCACCTCGTCAGTACTGGCAGCTCAGAGCATGGGACCCTGCAGCCTCCTCACCGGAAGGGAGTCAAGGCCGCAGGTATGTGGCCTGGGGTCCCCTAAATGGCCCCTCAGTGTAGAGGTTTCCTTTTGGCCTTTTCTTCTCCTTTCCCCTCCCCCTCTCCCCATCCACTGCCCCATAGAACAGTGAAAACAAGCTGAAACAAAGAGGTCTGTAGCATAAGTCCAGATTCCTCCCCTGGCCCCACCTACAATGGCATTTCCCCTGTGGTTGGCCAGCCAGTTTCAGCTTTGAGCCCTGGCTCTGTGGCAGGTCAGTCCAGTGACACAATTCTCACTGGAAAGCTGTTATTGTAGATGGCTCCTGTCAGGCCTACCTCTCTGCTTCACTTCTCCCCAGCTTCCTCTGAAGTTGTCCGTTTCCCACTTCTTATGGGACAATTATATCCCATTTCATTCATATACCATCATTTACTTAGCCTTTCCCCAATGGGTGGCCATCCCCTTACTTTCCAATATTTGGCTACCATGAAAAGAGCTGCTCTAAACATTTCTGGGCCTCAGGGTATGCACAGCTCCGTGACTTGGGGGCCAAAGCTCCAAATTGCTTTCCAGAATGCCATGACCAATTCACAATGAAGGTTTCCATAGGGAAAAAAAGATGACTCTCTCCCCTCCCATCACTCCAGTTCTGGGCCCCTCTTGAAACCAGCCAAGATGAGGTAGACCCCCTTGATCCTGACAAAGGGTGAGTTGTCCCACCTGCTGCCAGGTGGGAAAGGCAGCTCTTTCTCTTGGAAGGTCCCCTGGATGGACTAGCTCCATCATACCCTGCCTGCCCAACCACCCAGACATCGCTAATCCCCAAGCTGCATGAGAACAGACAGATCACTGAGAGGCCTGGCTGGCCTCTGGCTGGAGTTCCCTGGCCCAACTTCTGCCCCAACAGTAGCTACAGGGAACGAGGTAGAGTGTTTGGAAGAAACCAGCACAGGAATTGTAGAGAGAGACAGTGCAGATGTCCCAAGTCACCTCCAGAGACCCCTTCCAGTCTGGCAGGGGCAAAGAACTGGGTGGCAGGACCAGGAGACAAGAAACAGTAAAGCCAAGGGATCTCAGAGGTTCCTGACTGCTTAAAGAAAGAGAAGGAATGCATGCATGAATGAATGAAAAAGCACTGGGCTAGGGAAGTTGTCAGGTTCTAGGCAACAGCCTTTCCTAGTCAGAGGTTGTGGCCCGGCTCCTTGGGACATTGGACAAATTCTTGCAAAATTAGCTGTTTGGCCTTAGGGACCTGAGGTCCTTCCAGTTCCTCTCGTGGGTGCCTGGCTGGGCCTAGCGAAAGAAGGTGAGAATGGGGGCAGTCTGGGGGCTCCTTCAGTCATCCTGCTGCTGGTGTTTTACACACATTATCTCATCTAAGCCTTATAACTGTCCTGGCACAGGGAGGTATTATTATTCCTGGTTTTATAGATGAGGAAATTGAGTCAGACAGAGCTTAAGTACCTTAACTCAAAGTCATTTAGCCAATAAGTGTCAAAGGTAGGAATAGAATTCACAACTCCCTGGACTCAAAGACCAACATTTTATGTGCTACACCCTCTTTGTTGGGGGGCAGGAGTGGGAGATAAAACTTGTGAGGAAGGAATCAGAGGGGCATGGCCCCTCAAACACAGTCCCCTTACCCCAACTCTGAGGGTTCCCCACATGCCAAACTTCCCAAGTAAGAAAGGCTCCCTCTGAGAGACCCCAGAGGAGGTGACTTTGGGGCTGCCTGCCTCCCTGCCCACCATGCCTCTAGCCCCCCAAGGCTCCTTCTGTTTCTCCATACTGTCAGGCCAGAGTGCAGTGGGCCCTTGGGAGGGTCACTACCATGTGGGGTAGTCCCTGGGCTCTAGTCAGCAGGATGGCCTAGGGCAAGGCCAGTGTCATACACCGGCTATCACTACTGCAGGGAAGACAGACTCATTCTGGGCCCCTTGGTTTTGACTCCAACACAGCCTTTGGCCCCTGTCCCTGCCCCTTCAGCAGATAGAGTCTGAGGGCCCCAGTGGCCCCCAGAGTCCTGGAATCTCAGACTCAGATGTGGAAGGGGGCTTCCAGCCCAGCCCAGACCTGAGCAAGAACCCCCTTGACAATGAGTGGGCCTTGTCCCGACTCTGCTTAGAGCATCTGAGTTGGGGGAGCACCTTCCCATCTCCTGAGGCAGCCCCTCCCACTGTGGGGCAGTCTCATCCTTAGTAAACTGCCTATAATGTTCCCCAGCTGCTCCTTGCTGGGGCGGGGAGGCTTTGAGCCAAAACTCCCCAACATAACAGCCCTTCAGATATTAACGGCAGCCCTCCCTCAGTGTCCTTTCCACCCCCACCCCCCAGCCTTCTCTTCCCTATGGGGAAACATCCCCAGTCTATATTCCAGCCAGACAGGCCTCCTGGCTTTGCTCCCAGCTTGTAGTGGACAAAGCCTGGGTCCTGGGTTCAAATCCCACCTCTGACAATTACCACCTGTGTGACTTCAGACAACCTTCCTTGGGCCTCACTTTTCTCACCTGGACCCTGAAGTTCCTTCTAGCTTAGATAGAAGATCCTCTGATCTCCCACCTCCAGGCTTTTGTACTAGCTTATCCCCTAGGCCTGGAATGCCTTCCCTCCTGCCTTTACCTCTTGGAATCCTTACCTCCTTCAAGGCTCAACTCAAGTGCTCATGAAGCCTCTCATGGTCCCTGAAATTACTTTATTTTTTGGAATATATTACACGGCAACTCATCTGTGTGCAGCAAATTCTGATGCCCTACCCCAGGACCACCTACCACAGAGGCAGGCTTGCTTTTTGTCTGTCATCTCAGCACTAGGCCTGAGCCTAAGGATGAGACCTGGCAGGGCCTGGATATCTCTCCAGCCTTCTTCCTCTGGGACACATTTCCTTCTAATGCCTGCTTG